AGCAAAAAGATCTCGATACTATATTTGTAGCGCGTTGACATTATGTCGACAATTATAACGTTAACGTAGAAATACTTGCTATTCTTCTAATTACTATTACTATTACTATTACTGTAACATTGTAATAACATAACTTATGTTTATGCTTATTAAACGATTCACACAAAATACAATGTTCCATTGATAATTCCTATTATCGTTTCTTCCTGCATTTAGCGATGACTTTTAGGTGCAGTTTTCGTATCACCCTGCCGTTTTCGAACGGTGCTGTGACTTTTCCCAGAACAAGTATAGTAGTCAATTTATCATTATCCGATAAGAGCGTGCAAGGAAAGAAAATTCAAGCCTGAGGTAGATTATTATGAATTATTACATGAATTATACTACACGAAAATACCTACTTTTTGTTATTCCTTTCTCTAATATAATTGCAGCAATACGAATCATATTTAAAAGATTAATTTCGTTCAGTCGCTGTATGTTTAATAGAATTGCATAAGGCGAGCTCGTTTTGTGAATAACGTGGTTTAAAAATATAGCTGCTCAAGATTGATTAGCGGTAAATTTGTCACGTGTCGACATCGAGATGGCAGAAGAATTAATTCCGGATATGACTCACGCGAACCCGCTATCATTTGCATTCATGCTCGTCGTTACAACCTGCCGAATAAAAATTCAGTTTAATCGTTCGGCTTATATTAGAAGTAAATTGCACGATTCTATACGATACGGAACGTTTATAACAACAAAAATCCATAGAACGTATATGTAGCGTTCTCTTTATATATAAATTGTATTTTATATCTTCTTGCATTTTTCTTTCGTAATAGTCCAAGTGTATTTTTTCATACCTCTTTTTTTATACTTCCTGTCACAAAATTAGAATCGCAGAAATGATTAAGCTGTTGGATTTCTTTCGGCGTCGTGTCTTTTTGCTAATAGTTGTATACACGAAGTATGTAAATGGGGTAGAATCGAATGACTCAGTCTATACGCATATATAATTAAAATTGTAATACGCTGACTCAGTGTTTCAGCGGTAAATTCACTGTCAAACACAGCGATACAGCTTCTTTTTTTTTATCAGTATAGTATCTGGTGATCCTGGGAATTCCCAAACAGGCATTCTATTTTCGATTCCGTCTTATTTCGTTCGTGACAATATTAATACGCTATGCGTCGTAACGAACCTTCAATTTATAATTAACGTAAAATATGCACGTAACTCTGTCCATCCAAAATCAGAACTCGATTAAGTAGCCAGGCATAAATTATTGATCGAAAGGAAACTACGCCTACAGCAGACAGCGGTGTGCTCGTCCAATCGAAAGTGTAAGAGGCGTTCATTAATAATTAATGAAGTATCGATCAACGTTCGAAATAGACAGATTTGTATTCTCCGACGTTCAATGTTCGGAAAGATTGAGCGCCTAAACTTCGTCCCTCTCAATTCGTTCGTTGCAAATCTAAAATATCGATATAGTATAGAAATAATATTTCTAAAAATATCGTCTGAGAACGAAGTTTTTATGCATGATACTTCTATCGTGTTAAAAATATAATATTATAAGCGAATATTGGAGTACAGCGCTTATTTTATACTTATTTATCTCGCTGTTTAAAAACACATAATGGCTTCGAATGATCATTACGTAACAACGGATATGGCATTAATTAGTCGATCCTGTGTTTGCAACTGGTCGTTTGTAATTGATTTCTTTAATCGATCTGAGTCACCTTTACATAACGTTCGACTCAAGATTGATAGAGTATAAACGCTTACAATGTTTAAGAAAAGTTGAAATTTCCAAGTATCGACTGATCGCGTTAACATTGATTACAAATATTTTACGAAAATCTGTGTTAAATTATACAACGTAACACCGAGGATATCTTAGATTGTAATAAATGATAATACCTGCTCTGTGGAAGCAGAATCGACGATACGCTTAATCCAACAGTGTATTTAGAAGCCAAGCAATTAATTGATATCGTTTGTATCCCTTTAATCATTGGGGTCTTTGAATCGTTTACTCGTTGAATGTCTCATCTGCTTCTGGATCCTTCGTTTCGTGGCTTTTGATCGACTACGATACAGAATACAGAATATATGAAAATAATATGATTGGTAAAATAGGTTATGTGGTATTAAATAATTCAAAATATATAGAGTTAAAAAATATTCAAAGTATCTATTGCTTAGTTGCTAGTGCTAGAGTTAATATTGCAATCATAATTATTACGATCGTTGTTCTTACGATTTCTAAAGTATTCCATTCTTCGTGAAAGGCGTACGATTATCTTAATGTAAGTTTAGTAACAACTCTGTAATCGTAATCAATACTCACGTCGGTTGTTACAACACTGCTTCTTTCTTCTTGAAAAATTGAAAAGGATTATAGCAGCTACGTTTGATATATATATATCGCTAAAATAAAGAAAAGTTATAAAATACCACGTTCTTAAATTAAAAGATAAAATTTGCAAACAGAATTTCTATAGTAAAATGTTCGAGAATAGATCATTTCTCTTTTCATAACTCTTGTACTGATTGTGAGAGTCATATAACCTATTATGATGTACATACGTTCTGGGAAGACGGTCTTGAAAGAAATTATAGATTCTTGGAAAGGAAGGCGTCGCAAACTTCTGTAATGTTTGGCAGCTGTAGTACAGATAAAATACACCCAGCGAGTATCTATATAGTTATTTATGTGAGGTTCATGTATACATAATTACATAATAACAAAATTTCGTCATTTCTACGATTCTCGAAAATATCGCTTCGAGATAAAAATAATATAAATTTTGTATATTTTCTGACGGTAATAAAGACTAGAATTCGATTAATAATAAAGGTCAAAAAATGAAAAAATAAATACCATAATTGTTGAATCATAACTATTTGCCTCGTTCCATTGTAGTATATCATTACGTTGGCTTGGTATAATAACACTTGATCATAAATATACCAACAATATTCAAACCAAGTCTATTCACCTTCGTATTCACTATTTTTACGTTTGCTGTGCATCGGGATATTTTCGTTCCAAGTCGAAAGTAACTAAAATTAAAACAAACACAAGAGTGAGTGCAGTAAAAGTAACGTAGTACTCAGGAAGGCGCAAAGAAGAGATATTCCTGTAGACAAATTAATTAATTTTACATCCACTTTTAAATGTGCAAATAAAAGAAGATTAAAGATTGTAATAAAATTTGAAAGGATAGTATGGCAGATCAATGGCGATAATTAAATTGCTGTTTAATATTAGTATAATAGATTAATATAAAAATAAAATTTAGATTGTTATAATGTGAAATTTGTAGCTAAAAGTTATTGAAAAAAAATGAGACCCAAGAACGGTCGATTGTCATCATCCCTGGTGGGGATCGAACCCACGACCTTTGGATTAGAAGTCCAACGCGCTATCCTCTGCGCCACAGGGACTTGGTATACACAATGTTTCTTATTATAAATCTAAAAGATAGTTAATCATAGATGTCGCTGATGTACGTAATAGTTTATGTTAACCAGTGACGTATAAAAAAGAAACGAAACGATTAAAATTCTAAGCGCAAGTTTAAACACAACAAACTGATCGATATAATAAACAAATTTCAGAAAACTGATTATTTTACATAGTGTAATTATACTTTCTATTCTCATTTTGAAACTTTGTTCAATGTAATCCTTTTTTCGCATCATATTTAACTTGATAAATAAACTCGTATAAACTAACCAACACAACGAACAACTAATTTTTATTTAAAAAGTGTACATTTCAAATGTTGAATAATTAAAAGTAAACTATTATTTTATTATCAATACTTTTAAATGGAATATTATTTCAACGTAATAATGACTAATTAATCACTCGCAGGTAATAACTAATATAAATAGAAGCATGATTCCGAAATCTACAAATTTTCATTACGTCAGTGTACACATATGATAATAATCATACAGCCCTGTGTATGCCAGCAACCAATGTAGTCAACACACTTGCTCAGGCTACAGTGATGTAGGTACACAGACGATGTCTACCGCTTGCAATTGACGCGTTTCATCTCGTTCTTTGCCTTTAAGTGAACGAATATGGATTAATCAGTGATTTATTTGTGTATATCTCATATTAGACTACACTTGCAAATACGATTAAACAGTGAGAAAAAAAGTATTTAGATAAATAAGATGCCTAAAAGGTGAGAGAGAAAAGAAAAGCAGAGAATAGATGCACTGAAGTTGTGTGTGCATTTGAATGTTCACTGTGTGATGCGACGACGGAAAGAAAGGGAGAAAAAAGGAAGAAAGAGATAGAATAAAACAGTGGGTGAGAGTGCGAGGGGAAGGGGCTTAAAAGATGGCCGTCCTGAAACATATGACAAAGAACGGCGGGCAA